TTTTTTTTTTCAGTAGAGATGGGGTTTCACTATGTTGGCCAGGCTGGTCTCGAACTCCTGACCTCGTGATCTGCCCGTCTCAGCCTCCCAAAGTGCTGGGATTACAGGCATGAGCTACCGCACCCAGCCCAACATACCATATTAATAAAGGACAGAAACTATAGGATCATCTTAATTGGTGCAGGAAAAGCACTGACAAAATACAACATCCTTTCTTAATGAAAGTATTCAACTAGAATTAGAAGAAAATTTCCTCAATCCGACAAAGGGCATCTATTAAAAAAACACACAGCTAATACCATGTAACATAGTGAAAGACATCTTTCCCCCGACATCATGATGAATGCTATTGCCGCTTTTATTCAACACTGTACTGGAGATTCTAGCTGGGCAACTGGGCAAAAATAAAGAAACAAAAAGCATCCTGATTAGAAAGTAAGGAGTCAGAATATCTCTGTAGAAAACATAACCTCATAATAAATCCACTATAAAACTGTTAGAATTTTTAAAAAATACAATACAAAAAATTAGCTGGGCATGGCAGCAAGCAGGAGGCTGAGGCAGGAGAATGGCATGAACCTGGGAGGGGGGTCTGGCAGTAAGCCGAGATCGTGCCACTGCACTCCAGCCTGGGTGACAGAGCGAGACTCCATCTCAGGGAAAAAAACAAAACAAAACAAAACAAAAAACCAAGTTTAGCAAGGTTGCAGGATACAAGATCAATATACAAAAATCACCTGGATTTTTATATACTAGCAATGAACATTCCAAATGTGAAATGAAGAAAACAACTCCACTTACAATAGCATTGAATAATAAAATATTTAGGTATAAATTTAACAAAAAATTACAAGACATTGTTGAAAGAAAATTAAAGAATATCTAAATAAATAGAAAGACATCCCATGTTCATGGATTGGAAGACTTAATATCATTACAAAAGAGTACCTCCCAAACTGATCTACAGATTCAGTGTAATCCCAACGTGAATCCTAGCTAGCTTCTTGGTAGAAATTAACAAGTTGATCCCAAAATTCATTAAAAAATGCAAGGAACCCAGAATAGCCAAAACAATCTTAAAAAAAGAACAAAGCTGGAGAATTCATACTTCTCAACTTTAAATCTTAACAACAAAGCTACAGTAACCAATAATCAAAACCACGTGGTATTGACATAACGACAGACAGATCAATGGAATAAAACTAAGGGTAATGAAATAAATGTTTACATTGACAGTTGTATTAGTCTGTTCCCATGCTGCTATAAAGAACTGCCTGAGACTGGGTAATTTATAAAGGAAAGAGGTTTAATCCTGAGGCCTCCGCGTGTCTGGGGAGGCCTCAGGAAACTTACAATCACGGCAGATGGCACCTCTTCACAGGGCGGCAGGGGAGAGAATGAGAACAAAGTGAAAGGGGAAGCCCCTTATAAAACCATCAGATCTCATGAGAATTTGCTATCCTAAGAATAGCATGGGGGAGACTGCCCCCATGATTCAGTTACCTCCCACCAAGTCCTTCCCATGACACATGGGGATTATTGGAACCATAATTCAAGATGACATTTGGGTGGGGTCACAGTCAAACCATATCAATAGCCAACTGGCTTGACAAGTGTGCCCAGATAAATCAATGAGGAAAGCGGTCATTTCAGCAAATGATGTTGGGACAACTAGATATCTACATGCAAAAGAATGAAGTTGGACCCTTCCTTGACACCATGTATAGAAATTAATTCAAAATGAACCACAGATATGCTAAAACTACAAAACTGTTAGAGAAAAAACTGTTAGAGAAAAAACTGTAGGAGTAAATCTTTATGACCTCACATTAGGCAAACCCTTCTTAGACTCAACACCAAAAGCACAAGTAACAAGAAAAAAAGATAAATTAGACTTCATCTAAAGAAAAAAAAATCTTTTCGTTGCAAACAATACGATCAAGAAAAGATAACCTTCAGAATGGGAGAAAATATTTGTAAATCATATGATAATGGACTTGTATCCAGAATATGCAAAGAACACACAACAATAAAAAGACAAACAATTCAACTAAAAAACAGGCAAAGGATTTGAACAGACATCTTTCCACAGATGATACACAAATCACCAATAAGCACATGAAAAGATGTTCAGCTTCATTAGAAATGCAAATCAAAACCACAATTACATACCACTTCATACCCACTATGATGGCTATATTTTTTTAAAAGGTAACAATTTTTGGTGAGGCTGTGGAGAAAGTGGAACCCTCATCCACTCCTGGTAAGATATATAATGATATAGCCACTTTGGAAAACATTTTGATAGCTCCTCAAAAGTTTAAACACAGAATCACCCTTTGATCTAGCAATTCCACTCCTAGGTATACACCTGAGAGAAAGGAAAACATATTCACACAAAAACCTGGACACAAATATTCACTGTAGCATTATTCATAATAGCCAAAATGTGGAAACCATCCAAATGTCCCTCAAATGCTGAACAGGTAAAATATTATTTGGCAATTAAAAAATTAAGTACTGATACATTCTACAGCATAGATGAAACTTGAAAATATTATGCTAAGTAAAATAAGCTGATCACAAAGGACCAAATATTGTATGACTCCATTTATATGAAATGTTCAGAACAGACAAATCCAGAGACAGAAAGCAGGTTAGTGGCTGCCAAGGGTTGGGAGAGGAAGAAGAGGGAGTGACCATAAATGGGTATGAGGTTTCATTTTTAGGGTGATGAAAATGTTCTAAAATTACATAGTGGTGTTAGTTGTACAATCTGTAATTACACTAAAAACCAATGAATTATACATTGTAAAAGGGGGCATGTCAAGATTTGTGAATTCTAGCTCAATAAATCTATTATTTAAAAAACTATATGTGACAATGTGTTGAGACACTCTAAAACTGGGGTCTCCAACTCTCAGGCCGCAATACCAGCACCAGTCCATGGCCCGCTAGGAACCAGGCTGCACAGGAGGTGACCAGTGAGTGAGCATTACCACCTGAGCTCCACTTCCTGTCAGATTAGTGGAGACATTAGATTCTTATAGGAATGCGAACCCTACTATGAACTGCACATGTGAGGGATCTAAGATGTGCATTCCGTATGAGAATCTAATGCCTGATGATCTGAGGTGGAACAGTTCATCCCAAAACTATCCACATCCCTCCCCACCCTGCTATCTCAGTCCGTGGAAAAATTGTCTTCCACAAAACCAGTCCCTGGTGCCAAAAAGGTTGCAGATAGCTGCTCTAGAATAAATAATAGACCTTCTCAAGGACACTTCTCTCTATAAACTACTAAAAATCAGTAATTTCAACAAAAGCAAAATATAAACTATTTCTAATATGAACGGATAAATTAACTGTAATTGATAATTGCAATAATGGACTTCACCAAGGATAAAAGTTAAAAACAAAATGGAAGATGCAATGGTTTTGGTTCAGATGGTACCATGCATGACATCTGTCTATGCAAAGGTAGATATGACTTAGAAACCTCATGAAGCAAATGAAAGAAACTATAGAAACTGCCTCCCTAGCATATATTCAATACTAAACGTCTCCAGAATGTTTGTTCACTTCCCTTCACAGTCTCTTTTCCCTAACTCATATACTCCATAGTGTTCCTTGATACAGTGGATATGTCTTCTACTTGTCAGACAGAACAATGTCTTTCACCTATTGCAACTTCTACTTTTTTACTTTATTTGGCTTCAAGCCATGCATTCCAACAACAAAACAGAGTCTCAGCCAGTCCTATTACCATCTGACTGCTCTAAAACTTCCAAAACAGAATTTTTCTACATTCCCATTGTGGCATATATCTACCTAAAAGCCATAAATTCTAGGCCAGGCACAGAGGCTCACACCTGTAATCCCAGCACTTTGGGAGGCTGAGGCGGGCATATCACCCGAGGTCAGGGGTTTGAGACCAGCCTGGCCAACATGGTGAAACCATGTCTCTAAAAATACAAAAATTAGCCGGACATGGTGGCACACATCTGTAGTCCCAGCAACTCAGGAGGCTGAGGCAGGAGAATCGCTTGAACCCAGGAGGTGGAGGTTGCAGTGAGCCGAGATCACACCACTGCATTCCCACCTGGATGACAGAGTGAGGCTCCATCTCAAAAAAAAAAAAAAAGATATAAATTCTATTTCCAATACTTATCCCTGTTAAATGAGTCCCAAAGATCTCTTCTTTTTTATATAATTACAATACGTAAATCATTCAGATTTATCTGCAAAACTATTCAGACAGATTTTACTCACAACTGACTTTTTGTTTTTTGGGTTTCTGTTGTTTTTTTTTTTTTTTTGAGATGGAGTCTTGCTCTGTTGCCCAGACTGGAGTGCAGTGGCATGATCTCAGCCCATCACAACCTCCACCTCCCGGGTTCAAGCAATTTTCATGCCTTAGCCTCCTGACTAGCTGGGATTACGGGCGCGCAGCACCATACCTGGCTAACTTTTGTATTTTTTGTAGAGTAGGGGTTTCACCATGTTGGCCAGGATGGTCTCGAACTTTTGACTTCAAGTGATCTGCCCACCGCAGACTCCCAAAGTGCTGGGATTACAGGTGTGAGGTACCATGCCCCGCCTGACAACTGACTTTTTTATAAAGTGTTACCTCCTCTAAATTTCACAACTATAAATAAGTAACCATCACTTGTCTAGTTTAACACATTATTAATTTTGAAATTTTTTGGCCAACAAAATTTTGGTTAAAGGTGAACCTTTATAAACTAAACCTTCTTGTGCTTTAATAAAGCACATATTTAACAGAGGAACTAAATGTGAGACTGTGTTATTAAGGAGCCCCTTTTCTTCTAGTCATAGAGAAGGAAAGACATATTGTTATCCAAAGCTATTAGCTACTGTTTCAGACAGGTACTTGCAGAATGTAAAGAGAATACACCACACATTAGTACCAGCACTTAAGACAGAAGGGAAAAATGAATGGTGAGAACAATTAGAAATAACTACAAAAATATACTTACAGCCTCAAACTGCAATTGGCTATCCTTTAAGAAATCCTGAATTTTATCCTTGGGTAAAATGCTGAATCTAAATCGAAGGAGATCCATTTCTTGTTGAATGAACCAGCGTCTAAGTTCTTCACTGAAATGAAGACAGAAAGCATGAGTACAAACTAAAAATCCAGTGATTATTAAATCTAAGAAATGTTTATAAAACAATATTCAGACATAAGCAAGATGCCAATGGACAGCAGTTAAAAACATGCAAGTCCTCTATCATGGTAAGGAGAATATCAATACCACATATCACAATCTTTTAGGGATGTGTTGGGTACAAGGTATAGGGGGTGTTAAAAATTAAAAGGATTAAATACAGAATGTTTCAAGTCCAGCTGCATTATTTTTAAATAACATAAAATACTTCATGCATTTAATGTAACTTCAAAATATTCATTTTATGTTAGAAAATAGGGGCTGGTATGGTGGCTCATGCCTGTAATCCCACCACTTTGAGAGGTCAAGGCGGGCAGATCACCTGAGCCCAGAAGTTTGAGACCAGCCTGAGCAACTTGGTAAAACCCCATATCTACAAAAAAATTAGCCAGGCATGGTGGCATGTGCCTACAGTCCCAGCTTCTCAGGAGGCTGAGGTGGAAGGATCACCTGAGCCCACAGAGGTTGAGGCTGCAGTGAGCCGAGATGGCACCACTGTACTCCAGCCTAGGCAATGGCATGAGACTCTAGCTCAAAAAAAAAGAAGAGAGAGAAAAGAGAAAAAAAAAAAAAAGAAAATGGGGAAATGGGGCACTCCTTTGGCTTGAGGTGTCTTTATAAATGCCAAATAAAAGACACCAAATTTTTTAAGGCAACTTTGATCAGATTAACTTTGCAAAGGAAACTTTGCTCATGGCTTTACAATTTATAATTTCACAAAATTTAATATGCACATGTATACCACAATATTTAAAAGCAATAAAATGTTCATTTATAAGGCAGATACTAAGGGGTGTTACTGTTATATAATAAAATAATTACCCTACTGGATGCAAAATATGATTTCACATTTTTAGGAGATTTTCACAGATTGTCAGCAATGTATTTATTATATAAATTTCATAAACTACATATGCTTTTTTATAGAAGAAAAACTCTAGAACCAAAACTGGTAAGTAATTTACCAATTATTATCTTGGGATAGTAAGCAATTCAAGAGTCTCACTTGATAAGCCTATTAATTAAAAAAAAGACAGCCATAACTAAATTATGTGACCAAAATTAATATATGGGAAAAAACAGTTTTAAAAAAAGCAACTAACTTTACTACCTCTGGGTGGCACTATTAACTTAAAAAAACCACCTACCAAAAAATCTTAGATGTAACTGGCCCATGGAGCTCAAATTCCAAAAACCTGTATCAAATTCAAGTGTGGGTTTCATTAATTGTTTCTTATAAATATTATCTTTTTTTTGCAGGAAAAGTATCAAAAGTCCTTCCTCCCAATAAAATCCTTTCCAATTTAAAATCCCAAATGAAGAGTCTCTCTCATAAACTTAAAAAGTGTTTCATCCGGCAAAATTTTGTGATAGAATTTTTTTCAGTATTTTTAAGTAAACAATTTGCTCCAAACAATTTACTGTAACAGTGTTCAACCCCATGATCAACTGGTTCCTGATGTTATTCTGGGTTTTCCTATGTTCAGTACAACACATCAACTTACCACACACCAATTTATAACCCATGACACCAGATTTGACTGTGAGAATATAAACATATACTCACGACTGGCAATAAGCAAGCCGCAAAATAAAATGAGAAATATGATCTCTTCTTCGCGGTTCATATTCATCTTCTAAGTTTTCCTTAAAAATAATGACACATGAATAAAATAAATGCATTAGAATGGTAAGAGGTATAAAGAAATACTGAGCTAGCCTGAGCCAATGGTAAAGTACGTTTCAAAAACATTTCTTTTTTTAGAGATGGGGTCTCGCTCTATCACCCAGACTGGAGGGTAGTGGTCAATCACAGCTCACTGTAACTTCCAACTCCTGGGCTCAAGTGATCCTCCAGCCTCAACCTCCCAAAGAGCTGGGACTACAAGCGACACCCACCATGCTCCGCTAATTTTTTATCTTTTGTGTAGATGGAGTCTCAATAGGTTGCCCAGGATGGTTACGAACTCCTGGTCTCAAGCAATCCTCCTACTCTACTCTCTCAAAGCAGTAGAATTGCAGCCATGAGCCACCACACCCAGTCCCAAAACATTTCTTCTTTTTTTTTATCTTTTTACTTTAAGTTCTGGGATGCACATGCAGAACATGCAGGTTTGTTACAATAGGTATACACGTGCCATGGTGGTTTGCTGCACCTATCAACCCATCATCTAGGTTTTAAGCCCCGCATGCATTAGGTATTTGTCCTAATGCTCTCTCTCCCCTTGCCCCAAACCCCCTGACAGGCCCTGGCGTGGGGTGTTCCCCTCCCTGTGGCCATGTGTTCTCATTGTCAAAACATTTCTTAATATGCTTTTCAGGGCAATTATCATTTACCTTAAGCTGTCAATCAGATGAAACCAAGAAGCAAACTAATCTCAACAAAACCTATTGAGTTTGGACCCCGCTATTTTCTTCCCACCAACCCCTCTCTTTTAATTTTCTTCTTATCCAGCCTATATCCAGGGTGCTCAACACTTCAACAACTTCTTACACCAACCTCAGCTTCTTTAATTTCAGCCATTTGGCAAAACTTAGATTCTTAATCTACAACTACACTCTGCAGTCCTATTCTCAAAATGCTAAGAACCTCTGGAGAAAAAACACAACTACGGGAATTTGGAAAATATAATTTCATGGCCTATAATCTCAACTAGATCCTTGCCAATAGTCAGATCCAAAATAATAAGCACAAACATGTCTTGAGCACTTACTAGGTACCAGGCATAAAAGTGCCCTAAACATTTTTAAGGCATGAACCCATTTAATCCTTTAAAAAACAAAAAAACACCCTACGAGGTAGGCACTACTATAATCTTATTTTACAGATAAGGAAACTGAGGCACAAACAAGTTACGTAACTTGTTCAGGGTCACAAAGTTTGTCCAGAGTAAGCAGCAGTATTGAGATTTGACAAAAAATCATGTCCTTCCTCACCTCTCAGAAAATCTTCAGTCTTCACCAGTTATCCCAAGACCCCTACTACAGCACCTTTCCCTTCTCCCTGAACAGATGACTTCACCTACTTTACAGAAAATAAAGGCTACCAGGCAGACTCCTTCAGTCCCAAGCTTCTGCAATCACATGTGTGTTGCCTTCCATCCATCTCCACAAAGTATCTCCTCTTCCTAGCATGTAAAGCTATATTAGTCCATTCTCATGCTGCTAATAAAGACATACTCAAGACTGGGTAAACCCATAAAAGGAAAGAGGTTTAACTGACTCACAGTTCCCCAGGGCTGGGGAGACCTCAGGAAACTTACAATCGTGGCAGAGGGGGAAGCAAACACGTCCTTCTTCACATGGTGGCAGTAAGGAGAAGTGCTGAGCAAAACGGGGAAAAGTCCCTTATAAAACCATCAGATCTTGTGAGAACTCACTATCTAGAACAGCAGCATGGGGGTAACTGCCCCCATGATTCAATTACCTCCCACCGGGTCCCTCCCACAACATGTGGGGATTATGGGAACTACAATTCAAGATGAGATTTGGGTGAGGACACAGCCAAACCATATGAAAAGCTAATTCCTGCACCTAAACCCCGCAACCCATTTGCTTGTGCCTCTTAAAGACCCTGACTTATCAAATGCTCTCTCAAAGTTTTATCTTCAAGCTCCCCTCTTCCCCATTCTATTCTAGATCTTCTGCTCAGCTTATAAACATGTTTAAGTATCTCCTGTCATATATGTACAAATGTGTGCTTGTATATCTTCTCCTTTCCCTAAAACAACCTCTATATTCCGCCCTATTTTTCTCTTTTCAGTTACACATTTTAAAAGAGTACATCTTCTATATCCACCTCTCCACCTTCCTTCTCCAACCACTGTCATTGTTCTGGTCTCTGCCCCTATCTACAAGGGCCCATCCAGTTGCTAAATCCAATGGACACTGTACAATTCATCTTACATGATCTATCTTAAGCTTCTGAAACTATTGTGGTTAAAAGCACCACCACAGAAACAAAATACTCAGATTCAAATCTTGGCTCCACCATTTACCATCTTATGAGCTTGGGCAAATTATTCAGTCTGTGAATAAATAGGTTGTATCTGTAAAATAGGGATGATAATAATACCTACCTCATAAGACTGCTGTATGAATTACATACATGGGCTAATATATGTAATGCACTTAGAACAAGGTCTGGTATAAAGTAAACGTACTATTAATATAAATATCTGCTGTTGTTATTCCCTATTATCATTATTAATATCATGATCATTATTATTGAAACTCTAGCCCTCCTTGGCTTCTATGACACTACTATCCTGGTTCATCTCCTACTTCTGAGAAAGCTCCTTTCCATTCTCCTTCCCAAACTCCTCCAATTCTACTTTACCTTCAATACTGGTATTCCTCATGTCTTTACTTCCACCATCATCTCTTCTCTCTCAAATATCTTCCTAGGGTGCTCTTACCTACTCCTGGTGATTCCAACCTTCTGCTAAATCTATACTCCCACCAGATGTCTTCCTGTATATTCAGACCTGCATATCCAATTGTCCACTAGACATCTCCACAGGCACCTCAAATTCATGTTAAGAACTAAACTCTACATCTTCCAAGACTTGCTTCCCCTCCTGCATATCACATCTCAAAATATTACCACCATCCACTAATTTTCCTAACTAGAAACCTGGGTCTCATTTATAACTCTTCTCTGTCCATTCCCCCTACAATCAGTCACTAAAACCTTTTGATCCTACCTTCTTAATACCTCTTCAACCGGTCCCCTTCTCTCATTTAATTCAGACTCTCATCATTTCCAGGCTTCTAACTGGTTTCCCTCCTAACAGACATGACCCTGTCAATCTGCAGTTGGCAGTCATCTTCCCAAAATGAAAATCTAACCACATCTGTCAACATGCAGCTCCACTACTACCTCTTCTGGAAAGCCATCCCAAACCTCCCCAATCTGAGCTGCATAATTATATATGTTTTTGGAGTTCCTGGAGCATGCATCTATAAACACAGTCATCGTCCTGTATTGCATGGGATACATTTGGCAATGTCTGGAAATACGTAGGGGTAGAAGCCAGAGATGCTACTGAGCATCCTACAATGCACAGGAGAGTCCCTGCAACAAGGAATTATTAGATCCAAAATGATGTTAGTCCTGAGGTTGAGAAACCCTGCCATATTATAATCATCTGACTTCATGTCAATCACCCCTAATAGACTGAAGATATCTCCAGGCAGAGATCATGATACATTAGTCTTTATAAAAGCCCAGTGCCTAATACCTTTCCCACAAGTGACACTCGACACATACATATATAGAAACTGAAGGAACTTTTTTTTCCTTTTTTACTTACTCTGTAGGAAAACTTGAGCTTTCGAAGCTCACCCTCCAACTTACTCTGGTATTGTTCAGTTCCTTTCACATAGCTCACTCCAAGATTTTCAACCGATTTTAACACTAAAAAAAAAGAAAAAAGGTACAAATGCAAGATAATGTTTTAAAACTAAATCCAAAACAAAATCTACGGAGGGCAATTCCATAATTACTTGTTTATAGAATATGACAAGTAATTGCCAGTTTATTTCCTGTAACTACATTATATAAACTATATATGCTTATAAGATGATAATGTCCATCTATGTGCAGAAAATATCCATGTCTCATAGCATAATCTAATACCAGGGATTCTCAATCAGGTAAGAGGGATGGATGCTGAATAATCATTCCTGTACTGAGCCGCTGTTGCTGAGGAACAGAAAAGTATGTCAGTATGGGAAAAAAACTAGGCACTCCTTGTTTGCATCCTTCATCTGTGAGCTGCCTGTTAGGCAGCAGGCATCATTCACTTGGCATAGATTCAACAGGAAAAAAGCATCCCTTCCTTTCCTGATGAAGCCGAGGACAGGGCACAACAGTGAAGAAGAAGGGCCATCCAATCAGCCAAATGAACCATCCTGAACAGATGCTACATACTGTTCAAAGGTTCCTAAAGCACCTTATCAATCTGTCCTCAGATGAATTATTCTCTGAAGGCATTTTTGAAGTCAAGAATGAAGAACTTCTAATTGTCTCATGAACATAAACTCCATGTCCCACAGGTATGCATATCCAAATTAATTATCCTCCCCTCATTCCTACTCTTCTTCCTCCCATGCCCATCTCCATCAGCAGAGTTTCTATGCATGAGATCATCCAAGCAGGAACTTCAGCCACTCCACGCCTGCTCCCTTACTCCTCATATCCAGTCACCAAATCCTATCCATGTTACCTCCTCAGTATCCCTTAACTCTCTCCCTTCCTATCATTGCCATTGTCACTATCATAGTTCAGGCCCTTATCATTTCACCTCAAGTGCCAAACCCAGGAGACACTTTTCAATCACCGTCTTAATCCCTATGAAGTATCTGACACTGCTAAGCTTTCTAAAACCCTTTTCTCCCTTATCTTCATTCTTTCATTCAACACACAGGCACTGAGTGCCTCCTCTCTGTATTAGCAGTGCTTACCCTGCTCCTCTAAGAATGAATACCAGTATCTCACCTTTCATTCTGATTTCCCCACAAGGATATCCTGGAACATAAACTCTGAAGACAACGCTAGTGTTTCTGTTTCAATTCATGTCTAGCCCATTCTTTTCTCTAGCAACACACTGAGGATTAAGTAGGCCCCCAGGACAATGGCCACATCCTTCTTACACCCCGATATCATATCATTAGCATGGCACAAAATGCCCTCCATACTTCTCCATCCACCCTGAATTCCTGAACTTGTTACTGTTACCTCAAATATGAAATTCTCTTTCATGCTCCAAGTCTTTGTATAGGCCATTATGTCAGCTTAGAAAAACTCTTCACTTCTCTGCTGGAAAATTTCTACCCATTCTTCAAGGTCCAGATCACATTTCAACTTCTCTAAGAAGCTTATTTAATCAGACTAAGTCAGTCACTCTCACTTCTTTGTTTCAACAGCACCACCATTTACTTCTAGAGCAGTTAAAATACTGAGTTATGACTATTATTTTGGATGTCTGTCTCCATGTACTAGAATACAACTTCAACAAAAAATAACATTATTCATATCAAAATCCCTGCCACCTAGAACATAATGGCACTCAATAATATGCACTGTACAATAAATAAATGAATGAGTACCAAACCCTCAATAAATATTTCTTGAATGGATTGCTGAATGAAGGAAATGAATTATCTCAATAAATATTTGTTGAATGGATTGCTGAATGAAGGAAATAAATTACCTTCATTCATTCTCACAAAGGGTAAGTTTCTCAAGAATATATACATTCTAATTTAAATAGTACTTACATTTAACTCTATCAATAGCCAAGTTTTCAAATTCTATTAAAGATATGTTTTCAGAAGGTGGCTGCAAGTAAAACTGAAGGCAATGAGGGTAGGAAGCATTCCTCTGGTCACCTGCCAACCTCGGCGTCCTCAACTTTCTTTTGGAAAACTCCATCTTGGTCACCTTAGAAGGAAGCATATAAAAGGCATAAAATTATGGAAAATAAAGTTGGAAAAAAAAACACGAAAAAATAATTACACAAACAGAAAAAAAAATGGACTTGAAGGCATGCACAAAATGTTAGCAGTGGCAATTCCTGGGTGATGCCCTTCTCTCTTTTCCAGATTTTCTACAATACACCTATAATAATTTTGTAATGGGGGTGGGAGAGGCGCTAGAGCAGACGCAGGTGGTGATCCTAATTTTCAGCAACATGAAAGTCAGGTGATGTTGCCTGCTGATTACAGGCCTGTGTGTCACTGCTCCTGGATCTTTACGATCCCAAGAGTTAATATAAGGTTTTACGTGGTCTGCAATCCTGAACTTACAGGAGAGTGCTGTAGGTTCTGGCTAAATGAGGGTCTCACTTGATGGACTGGGTCCAGTTACTCACTTTCTCTGTTATGACTCTGGGAAACAGAACAACTGTCTTTCGGAACTCCTTTTCGGGAGCATCCACAAGTGCCTTATAAAAGTTCCATCCCCAACACCTCTGCCCACTCCACTAGCAAACCTATCTGCCCCCAACTCCTCCCTGGTACCTGAGTATCTGCCCCAACCAATCAACCAATACCCACTACTCTCAACCCGCCAAATCTGTCCTTCTGCTCCTGCTGCCTGCAAAGTGATCCGTCTCTCCTTTCTGCCGACTTGCAAGCCTCAACAACAGGATTGCTCTCTGTCCTAAATTCGCGGGAGTTTCCCTTACCTGCAAGAATTCAAACTCGGGGAAACACAAACGCTGACAGCTACTGCTCCCGGGTGGCGGGAGAGTTCATATGAAACCGGAAGCGGAAGCGATTCGCACGGAAGGCCCGCCCTCCCCCACCTCCCCTCGGCGGCTTGGAGGGGGTTGTGCCTGGGGCTCTGGGCATGCTCAGTGAAGCGCGTCTGGGAGCTCAAGGCGTTTCATGGGCTTTGGCAGCTTTAAAATGTTTGGATGTCAATGTTTTGGGGATTTCTTTTTTCCAAATTTTAAGATGCATTTCCCGTACGTGGAGTCAGTAGCTTTTAACAGTTGAAACTGGGGTGCTGAATGCTAGTGGCGAAAACTCCCATACGCCGAAAATTGAACCAATGTAAGTTCGTTTGGGGACACTAACAAATATTCCGTATATTGAGGAGAATATGGCGCTTTAACCCGCAGAGCTGGCACTCATCACTTTCAATCTGGGGAGGAATGAGGAAAAAAGGCATTAGGATCCTTTTTGCACCTAACTCACTATTAAGGGCTCTTTTTTCCCCTCGTTTAATCTTTCAGCGACGTTTAAGGTCCTATACGGTCGTATTACCCCCATTTGGCAGATGAGGAAACAAGTTACAAGATCATCATTAGCTACATACAATACATAGTTTGAATTTCGGATTGGGCGGCAAGATCCTACCGGCAGATTCCGCGTTCAGTTCGCTCCCCGCTCCCCGGCAATGCCTCGCACAGAGTAAGCGCGCGGCTGAATTATCTGTGGAATGAACTAGAATGAATGAAAGAATGAACATTCGCAGAAATCGCTCTGCAGTCTACAGGAATTAGAAGAACCCAGCCTCGGAGGGAAGATAGGGTGGAAGAAGTGGAAGCACTGGAGATAACGCGGACGTGCCGCTTACTTTCCAGATGTCTTACTGCAGACTCACAAGCGGCGCGTCAGAGCCACCACACCAGTTCTGTCTGTAAGATTTTCGAGAACTGGAAATTAACTTCACTCGTGGCCTCTAGGAGGCGTGCCTTGCTTACAAATGTGCTGGAATGAGGCTCCGGTATAGGTAGTCGTTAGGCGATCAACTGAATGTTTTGAAATGTTCATGTTTTTAGAAATGCAAAGTACATTGAAACAATATCAAGCTTCAGAGCATCTACCCAGCCTGGACTAAACTGTGGCTGGCACTGACTTTATACCAGGACCTGTTCTAAGTGGTTTACATATCAACTCATTTTATTCTCACAACCATTTAAGATAGGCTATTCCCCCTCCCCGCCCCGACACACCACCACTACCCGAGACAGAGTCTTGTTCTGTCGCCCACCCTGGAGTGCAGTGGAGCGATCTCGGCTCACTACAACCTCTGCCTCCCGGGTTCAAGCAATTCTCCTGCCTCAGCCTCCCGAGTAGCTGGGATCTGTAATCCCAGCTAATTTTTGTATTTTTAGTAAAGACGGGGTTTCACCATGTTGGCAAGCTGGTCTCGAACTCCTGACCTCGTGATTCGCCCGCCTCGGCCTCCCAAAGGTTATTATATTAAACCTATTTTCTAGATACGGAAACTGAAGAACAGAGAAGATAAATGAAGTCAAAAGGACACATAATGTCAGAGCCATGTTCAAACCCAGAGAAACTCCCCAGGCCCCACTGTGCTAACGATCTCACTATACTAATTCCAGTAGTATGACAGCAGAGCTTCACCTCATTTCTTCCTCTCTGTATCAAATACATAATACAAATACTTCACCTGGTCTAAAGAAGACACCTGAAAGCATATAAATTGCCTGAAAAACCAGCAGCACAGACCATAAGAATATTTACATGAATATCTTATCTCTGGGTTTCAAACAAAGTTAAATATTATAAATTACAAAGAAAAAAGATATAAAGACTTGACGATAAAAATACAAAATTACGCATGTAAAAAATTCACAAAAGTATTTTGCACTCATCAAACTAGCGAAAAGGTCTACCAAAAGTATAACATCAAAAAGGTTAATGCCATCAGGATACAAAGCAGTTAATTCATTAGGAAAAAAATCCTAAGACACAAAGAGAAAAATGGGAAAAGAAGAACAGGTAACTCATAGAAAAAATAACTAATGTTAAATATGAAAAATGTTTTTATCACTAGCGCAAATAAATTTTCGCCTGCAAAATTGTCAAGGATTTTATAATGAAACTACTCAGTGTTGCCACCTGTTTTGCTCCTCATTTAAACCCCTGAGGCTCTTTATGATTCCCATATGGTGTAGTTCTTTAAATAATTATAGCCCTCTACTACAGAAGTTCTTTATCTTTTGGCAGATTAAGAACTTCTGTAGTAGAGGGATGTAATTATGTCCATGAACCACTGGACAATGTGATGAAAGTTCTCCTCAGAAAAATGCACCTACACACGCATCTATACTATTTCAAGAGATTCAAGATCACCATATGTGACTGGTCAAGAATTCCAGCACCACTAGGTTTTAAGCTTTCTTTGGATGAGCCCTTTTGTTCATCTTTGTGATCCCCAAAGTACTTGCTACAATATCTGCCCAATTAAAAGATGAAGTTGCCAGTGTCATTTTATGACCAACTCAGAGAAAACTGAAAATATATGTTCATGCTTAACATACCAATATCTTCCTATGTCACATAATAGCTACCTTTTCATCATATTAAAAACCGATTTTAAGCCCCTGGGAACAAAATAGCCTGTGTTTGTCAGCTATTCCAGCATTTTTGTTGTTTCTAAATGCCACAGTTTTGGTCGCTACCTCACTGTGAAGTGTGTTTTTCTGAATCCAGAAGCAATTGCAATATAAATCTGCATATCACAGTAGCAATAATGCACAATAATGTTATACATTTCAGCAGCCATGTTCAGTAAATCACTGTGAGCTCTTTCATGTATTCACTTCATCTAAAAAAAATGGATTGACACAATGCTCAACCCTGGCAACTGAGATTCTTGTAAATTACAGACATTGACCTCACAATCATGGGGAGGAAAACATACATAAACACATCAGTTTTACTTCCACTGAATCATAGCATCTCAAAAACAGGGACGACTGTTTCATTCATTTCTGTGACCCTAGTGCCTGGCACTCCATGGGCCCTCAACAAATACTTATGACACTGAATTGTTTTTGTTTTTTTTCTTTTGTTTTGTTTTGTTTTTTGAGACGAAGTCTTGCTCTGTCGCCCAGGCTGGAGTGCAGTAGTGCGATCTCGGCTTACTGCAACCTCCGTCTCCGGGGTTCAAGCAATTCTCCTACCTCAGCCTCCCGAGTAGCTGGGATTACAGGCGCCTGCCACCGTGCCCAGCTATTTTTTGCATTTTTAGTAGAGATGAGGTTTCACCACGTTGGCCAGGCTGGTCTCAAACTCCTGACCTCAGGTGATCCGCCTGCCTCGGCCTCCCAAAGTGCTGGGATCATAGGCGTGAGCCACCGTGCCCGACCAACACTGAATTATTGAATACTGTGAGAGACATATGAAAAAAAATGCTGGGTTCAGCTTCCCATTAAACAGATGGTTTGAATCAAATGTGACTCCAACTTATAAAACTTCAAGTCCTCATCTGAAAACTTTATACACATTCCTTCCAGAATGAGTTGGCTTCCTAGTTTAGCCTGTAATAAAGCACAGAGTACCTTCTCTGGCAGAATTTCCATGAATCATCACTGCTCAATTCAGTGTCTGCCCTGGGCATTACCCAGCTACAGACAGACTGCCCCACGTGGCATTCAACCTGAGATAACTCCTCCACAGCTCCAGAACTTCTATCCCAAAAAGTGTCACACTTACAGCTGATAATTTAGTTGCCATGCTTGGTAAATCTAAGTGAGTGTTCATTCCTCCTCTGTGCGGGGTGTGTCGCCCTAAAAACCAAAGGCGTGGTAAGCTTCTTTACTAAGTAAGCATGCTATAAACTCTAGGTCCTACCAGCTGTGTTTGCTATGAAAAGCAGAGAACAGGAGGTATTTCCAGCAAGATAGCTGACCCATAAAAGCTAAAGCAGAGTTAGCCAACCTGTGGCCCTCCACCCTCCCCATTCACTGCCTACATCTGGGAGTTGGCTGGGAACCAATCTAAAGAAAGCACTTCATTATTTCTCCATTTGCTTTAGATTGCTTTTTTTGGTCAAAATCAAGAAGCAGGAGAACTGAGAGGAAGCATATTCTTAAGGATAGCACGGTGAAGAACCACTACCCTTCCATATATCAACATTATTTGATGTGTTCCAGAAATAGAAATTAAACACTAAGTGCCAGG